TTGATCCACAACACCGCATCGGTGACCTTCTGTCTTCACATCGGCTAGTATTCGATTTTGCCAATGGCTTTAAGTATGTACCAAGACACCAACTTACAAAGAACCAATAACTACTAAGTGTTGCTAAGGTAGAGGAACAGATCAGTGGGTCATCACCAGGAACAGATCAGTGGGTCATCACCAAATCAATAGGTGACCCAACAATAAGGTACAATTAATTTGTGCATATTACTTAAAAATAAAAAATATCAGTTAATTATGCATACGTACATGTTTTTAAAACATATCACTCCCATTGAAATCTTGATTCGTTCTTACAATCGATCTAATCCAACTAACCTCCCTATAATCTCTCTTTTTCAAAGAGTGGTAACCATTATTGATTTCATATTTAATGAGTGATTTTGACTCAATATTTTTTATAATCACCGTCAACTTCCCTTCCCTAAAGCTCGGTTGCTTCTCTTTCAAGGTAAGCTTCAACCTCATGGGTTTCGACCATTGCTTCGATTGATTTATGGTCTGTATCGATTTTTGCTTCTTTCTTTTTGACTCATTACTTATCGATCCCTTATGGTTTCTTTGTTTGGTTCTTTGTCGGTTTAGGTTTACTTTCTCGGAGCTCGATTGTTTCTCATCCCCACATCTTGATTGCTTCTTTTTCAAGGTAAACTTCTACCTTATGGGTGACTGTATTGATTGACCATTGCTTGATTGATTTATGATTTGTACTGATTTAAATAAAATTGTTTTTGATCTATTATATTATGGAACACAAAGTTACATAAATCATTTGACAAAAACTTTTAAAAACCATTTTTATGCACAAAATACCGTTTATTGATGCATATTACTTACAATTCAAGATCACAAATAAATTATGCGTAAATATAACTTATTATGGCTTCATTTTTGAATTTATGTAACTAACTATAGATAAACATAATCAAAATATAAGATAAACATCTTATTTTAAATATAAAAATCTAAAATATAATTAAAATATCATTACTTATAACAAAATACTTGATATCTTCGTTAAAAACGTGATTAAACGTATAAATCGAACAAATTTCCTAAGATACATTTCAACATCAATGCAACAACTTTGATCACCAATGGATTCATGACAATTTCTTTCCACCCAGTTGACCTCCTTAATCAACAAATCTCTATCGTTTCTACTCAGATTTACAATCAACTTCAGATCTCCTATCAATCTGTTCTTAATTTCCAAGAATCAGAAACCGAATGATCCATTAATCTCAAAGATATAAAACAGTAATGAACCAGTAGTAGTGGTAGATCTAGTTTGCACAAAAACCTTGATTCGAACAATCTTTTCTCAGAGAGAGCATTACCATTACTGGGGAAGAAAATGGGGTGCTCTTTTTCGGGACTCAACGCCCTATACGACGCCGTTAGCGGAGGCGCTGATGTATGGATCAACGACAATCGCTTCAAGGTCGTCAGCCAGCTTGGTGAGGGTGGTTTTGCCTATGTTTTCCTTGTTAAGGAGGTGATCAACGACGCCTCCGGTGGTGGTGTCTCGAAGAAATTCAAAGATCCCTCTCACATCTCAGGTAAATACAATTCCCCCAATTTTGGGATTCTAGTTTTAGGGTTTCAAACAATCTGCATTGTGTTAGTTGATTTCGCTGTAGATATTGATTGATTTGATCTTCGATTTAGAGTGCGCTGTAGTGATTTAATTGTTATAGAAGCAACACAAGGGAGGAGATTACGAATTTATAGATGAATGATACTTTATCTGCAGAGGATGGAACTTATGCGATGAAGAAAGTTCTGATTCAGAATAATGATCAGCTGGAGATGGTGAAGGAAGAGATCCGTGTATCGTCCCTGTTTAGCCACCCAAATCTGCTGCCATTGCTAGATCATGCCATTATTCCAGTAAAGGTAACAAGCTTATTTGTATTGAGGCTTGTGATCATACGAGATATAATTAATTTTAAGCAAAGATCCTAGAGTTCTTCATACTGTATGATCAGATATTGCACATTTGTTCACGCGGCTTTAGCCTGGCGGGCAAGGAGGTGGGCATCTTTGCACAATGAGTTGGAGTTCATGGGGTTCGACTCTAAGCACTGCCCATCCTCCCGAAGACGCACTATTTATCTCCACCATGATGTCTGTGAGACCCGATACATTGGGGGTGCCCTGGAAAGTGGCTTCATATTCTTTTTGCAGAATATTTCACATTCGGGGATGTAACCGGAAAATATAGGTGAATTAGTAGGAACTAGCTAGAGGATTGCAGATTTACAAGTAATCATTTTTGCCAACATGTTATGCTGCCTCATTGTCTATTTGTATTCTATGTTGCTTTGTAATACTCTTGCTATTCTTATTTGCACCTGAGTCCTAAAATTTGTATGAAGATTTAATGTTAGTGTTAGAAGTTGTTTGCTAATATGAGTAGCTTATTTAGATCCAACTTGAAATGCTAGAACCGATTACAATTACATTCTAGGAGTATTCATTATATCCTTAATTGCTTGGTAATCTCTTATTACAACTATTTATGTTTGAGATAAACCAAACCAAACCAAACGGACCAGTAATTTCCGCATGGGGTGGGCAATGGGGAGAGTAATATGTACGCAGCCTTTCCTCTAGACCAAGGAGTAGAGTTTTTTTTTTTTTTGGGGGGGGGGGGGAGGGAGGTTCCTTAGCGACTCTCGGAAGTAAGAGTAACAAATGCATTAAGAAGGCTTGGTGAGTTGATGATAAAAAGCTTGAGACAAACTTGGGAAAGGAAGAAATGCATGGAAAAGTAGAGCAAGTATGCACAGTAAACAAGAAATAATATTAAAATGGTTTGGTTTTAGATTTATATTATTGTATATACGCACTCGTATACACACATATAAATGCACCCTTGCATCCCCAAACCTTTAAAATCTCTAAATCATGGTATCTACGTGTCACGTACCTTTATCCTTGCAACACATACTCAGGGTGTTTGGATATGCGCTTTCAAATTGATTATTGGAACAAACAGATAAAGCTAGAATAGTTGATTAATTTTGCATTTACCTTTAAAAATTAGTTTCCTTACATCAATTCTTGCCCGCCTCTCAAAATCTGGGCCCTAAGAAATCCAGACCAGGATCAAATTTACCAAATATTCTAAGATTGATTATTGCAAAGCTTTGGTCTAGTTAGCATCAAATGTGGCAGTCTAAGATCCTGATTACAACGTTTTTCTTGCATAGTTTCGGGAAGAAGATTGGTCAGCAAAGAACAGGTAAAACATAGTCAGCAATGAGAACACCTTTAGATTACCTGGACATCTCTTCACACGTGTATCACAATGAAAAAAGTTGGAGGATCAGATTGGATACATTATAGTAAGGTTACCAGGAGATCCTGACTTCAATGTTCTTTCACAATGATTTGTCTAGCATGCACAAAAATCTGCAGAAGCCAATAATTAATCTACCCTGAGCCAAAATGAACTTAATCATGCTTTAGAATTATGCCTTAACTTTGTTATGCTTCTATTTTGTTGGTCAGGGCACACCTGAACAAACTTGGACACATGAAGCATACCTGCTGTTTCCAGTCCATTTGGATGGCACGTTGTTGGACAATGCAAAAACAATGAAATCTAAAAAGGAATTCTTTTCTACGTCTGATGTTCTTCAAATTTTCCGACAGGTGATAATGATCGAATACCTGATACTCTTGGTCTGAGAGCATGGTGGTGAATTTGGTTTTGCATGCTTGTGTTATCTAATGCTCCTGAAACTTTTTGAACAGAAGCACACAATCACATATATACGTTTCATGTCCACGTAGGATACCGTTTTATAGGGAGATTTCATATGAGAATGACAAAAAGGTTGAGAATAGATCTTAACCATTAGATGATATGATCCAAAGGATGTGATAAAAAAGGTGGTTACAAATTTTTTTTAGAACAAACAAGATTCCCCCTTATGTTTTAATCAAAATCGCCGCAATATAACCAAAGTTGGAGCTCAACAAATTATACCATCATATATTCATTTTTATTTGATATCCATATTGTTATACTTTTCCATCCGATTTTTCGTTAGTATGCACATTATCAACTTTTTGTGTCATTCTCATTTGAACCTGCCCCTATGGTTTCATGATATGGATTAAGAATAATTTTCGAAGCTTATAGTGTCAATGTTTGTGCACAAAATCTCCCACTGAGAAGAAGAAACTGGCTTGCAGCTATGTGCAGGGCTCAAGCATTTGCATACTCTTGATCCTCCATATGCACATAATGATGTGAAACCAGGAAATGTCCTTTTAACACACCGTAAAGGACAGCCACCTCTGGCAATATTGATGGATTTTGGAAGTGCTCGTCCTGCTAGAAAGCAAATTCGCTCTCGATCGGAAGCACTACAACTGCAGGTTGTCCCCCCACCCTTTTCAGATTTATTTACATTTTTGCCGTTGTAAGCTGATTACTTGGCCCATTGTTCACTTTTGTTGCTATGTCAACGTCTTATGACCGTGCTGCCGTCAAATATCCCATCTTACCCCATCAAAAGCCATCTTTTCGGTGGCATGGAAATTTTTAGTGTCTTAACTTCTTAATACTCCCTCCGTCCCAAAATAAGTGTTCACTTCAAAAGTAAGTGCCTACTTTCCAATTCTACCCTTAATTATCATTTAATTAATTAGAAAGTGTAATGATTACAGATCGAGTCCTTGAGCCAAATGACCATTTCCCTCATTCAAATTGGTTTTCTAACCATTTCTCTCCCGGGTTGACCCAAATGTCACTACTTCCGCAATTATCCAGGTTCGCGATATTGTGGACCTAGCTAAAGGCCAAAAAATAATTTCAAATTCAACACATATATGCAATTGCAACGGCTAGATATACAATTGCGACGGCCAAGTCCGTAATTGCGACGGTAAACTGGTTGAATTTGACCATCTTCTTTGTCTTTTAACTATTGTGAACCTGAATATTGCGGAAGTAGTGACATTTGGGTCAACCCGAAATGGCTAGAAGACCAATTTGGATGAGAGAAATGGTCATTTGAGCTAATTTCTCTTACAGGTTTCTATACCTGTGTGCCTTTTTCATTGTGGACATTTATTTTTTATATTACATGGACCTGTAGAGCATTCTGTTCATTTAAAATAGTGGGTTGTTTCCACTTGAGTAAAATGGATGCTCGCTGCCTAGTGAAGATTATCTAAGTTGCTCTAATTTTCTCTCAAACGTCTTCAAAACTTATCTGACCACCCTTTATGTGTGTAAGTTAGTTTCAAATGTATGTGCTGATTAATTGTTGTTTGAATATTGGGTAGGAATGGGCAGCGGAGAATGTTTCAGCACCCTTCCGAGCTCCGGAATTGTGGGATTGCCCCAGTCAAACAGACATTGATGAACGAACTGATGTATGGTCACTAGGTTGCACTTTGTTTGCCATAATGTAAGATCCCTTGCTTCTTTTGCCAATCAATCAGTTTCTAAAGCACTATTAACTAAAAGGCAACAACCTCAGTGTTTAGCTTCTGATGCATATGATTTTAGGCTGCCCGTTAATCAGTTAGCAGGACCCCCACCATTTGTTGGTCCCGGGGTTAAGTTAGCTTATACGAGCATGCTCCCCACCCCTTCTAGCACCTTCAAACCCTTTGTTAGAGCTTAACCAAAACCCTTATGGCTCATGTAGGTCTTAGTTACACGAAATGGCCGATCGCACTAACAAAAATTCCTAGGAGTTATATCTAATTTTACATTTGATGTTATGTAATGTAGGGGCTGTTTGGTTGGTTTTCTATTAAGGGGCTGATTGGTTGGTTTTCTATTAAGGGGCTGATTGGTTGGTTTTCCATTTAGTATTATTGTATGGATAAAGCTGTCTGTGGATTAATCTCTCTATATAGATTAGGAAGGTTTTTGTTTGAGAGGGTTTTTCACAGATGGAATGAGCATGCTTTTTAATTGGGAATGACAGGCTTAGAAAAAATTTGGCTTTCTGCATAAGCTTCCCCTAGAAGCTTATTGGATAAGCCTGTTTCTATATCATTAAGCCACTACCAAACGAAACGGTCATGTATAGCTAACGGAATAAGCTGTGAGTCCCATTAAGCCCATTCAGCTGCTAACAAACAGTCCCTAGGATAAAGCTGTCTGTGTGGATTAATCTATCTGTATAGATTGAGAAGGTTTTTGTTTGGGGTGGTTTTTTATAGAAGGAAGGAGCAATTTTAGAATTTTTTTTGGCTTTTTGCGTAAAACTCCCTCTAGAAGCTTACGGAATAAGTCGCTTTCTATATCATTAAGTCACTACCAAACAGTCATGCATAGTTGATCGAATAAGCTCAAGTCTCATTAATCTGCTATGCCGTGGCTCCTTGGCTTTATGAGAATCCTTTTATGTAGCCTTGTATTGCATTGAGCCCGAATATTGGATTGGCATACATGGACGAATTTGCAGGCATTGTTTATGATGATAGTTTTATATCGTTATGATAACAGGTATGGTGCATCTCCGTTTGAGTATGCATTAGGGGAATCGGGAGGAAGCTTGCAGTTGGCTATTATAAATGGACAGATAAAATGGCCATCAGCATCAGGAGGAGGTCCAAAACCACCGTATCCGGAAGCTCTTCATCAGTTCGTATCATGGATGGTTCAACCTCAAGCGACAGTTCGACCTCATATAGACGATATCATCATTCACGTCGATAAGTTGATCTCAAAGTTCTGTGTCTAAACTATATATAGTAGTTGGATTTTTAGATATGATATTGGTAGTTTTGTTGTTTTTAAAGATGTCATTTTTCTTGGCTGTTTGTAGATGTTAAATGGGATATCATGATTAAGCTTGTTTATATGGACATAAATAAATAATTATATGCATACCAATGGAAAGCTCCTTTTTCTTGCATAAGACTCTGATTTATGTGCCTTTAGATTCAAATGGCTGGAGGAAGAGCTTTATGTTGGGAGTCGTTTAAAACGCTTACTTGGCAAGTGCTTACTGGATCATCATATTAAGGGTCGAGAACCTTACCCGGTTAGAGCAATGATAAAGATTGAGAGTCTTACCCGGTAAAGTAAGTTGGAGTGTTGACTCTTACTGGTAAGCGCTTACCAGGTAAGCGTTTGAGTAAACGGCCCCTTAAGAGTGTTTTTGTAGTCCAATGACCAAAATGTTTCCGAGTAAATTACGTTTTTCGTCTCTGTGGTTTGGTAAAAGTTGCGACTTTCGTCCTTGTGGTTACGAAATTGTGTTTTTTTGTCTCTATAGTTTGTAGTTCATTGCTATTTTATGTAGCGTTTGGTGCGTATGTTAGATGACTTTTATGTAGCTTTTGTAGTTCATTGCTATTTTAGTCAATAAGGCTAACTTCCATATACAATATAACATAGTGTTGGATTCACGTGAGACAAGATTGTTTCTGTGAGACACAATTTTTATACTTGAAACTTCACAAGAAAATGTTGTGAAGGTAAAAAAAGAAGCGGAATCTTCACAACAAAAACTTTACAAGGTGAATAAAAAAAGGACCAGTTTTAGATTAAAAAAATTCATGTCACTAACCACTTCAGTAAATAACATCGAGTTGAATACCACATCATTCGCCACATCAACCGGTTACCCGGTTACTTAAATATTTAAAACTTTACATCTTAGGTATCAAAAATGAAAGTTTTGAAAGTACGTTATCCAAAATATGAATCAAGTTAAAGTACGTTATTTTTTCATGCAATTTGCTCACATATAAATGATATTCACCTTGTGAACAACCTATAAATTTAGTTTTGGTATGTTCGAAAAGGAGTCTTGAGTGTTATAAACACTATTTTTGGGAGTCATGACGACAATGTCATGCCTCAAGCCTTGGGAGTCATGACGAAACCAAAACGTTTTTCAAAGCATAACTTAAGACAAATCATTATATCATATATATATATATATATATATATATTTATATATATACATGTATATTTATATATATACATGTTTTTTTTTCCAATGACATTGAAATTTTTTATTTTATATAAAAATAAACCATATATGTGTGTATGTATATACATATATATATATATATATTAAAATTACAAAATTACCCTTCTATTTCTTTTCTTTTCTTCTCCTCCAAATTCAATAATACAACGTTAAAAGTAGAGATGCTCTAAGACCATTGGAGATCTTTTGAGACCTTGGCTACTAATTGCAAAAGCAAACAGACATTTAGGTGGACTTTATGTTTTAAGAGGTCTTAAATTTTGAAATCTTATTTTACTTCTGATTGATAAAAGGTGGTGTTAAAGTCTGAAACTTGAATCAATAAGACTGTTTGTTTTTGTAAACTGATAAATGTATGAATATGTTTAAATTGTCTGTTTTACCCACTAGAAAATTATAGTTTGAATTGATAGATAAATTTATACAATTTCATATATTTATTCATCGTCATTACGAAAATTACATCTTAATTGTATTAATAAACATTCATTTAAACAAAAATATGTTATTTACGGTTTTTAACAAATTTAAATCCTATTAAAATACATTAATTGAGAGAGGTGATGATCGATTTGGCAAGGATGGATTGAGAGAAATGATCGATTAAGGTTATTCGATTAAGAAACGCTATTTGCTTAGGATTTGGAGAACAATAAGAGGCAAATGAGATATTGGTTTTCCTCTTACCAGATAAGAAGACAATAAGACATAAATGTCTCTAAAAAATTGGAAAAAATAAACAATCTAAACGACTTTACTTCTTAATAGATCAGACATAAAAGACTAATAAAAGTTTTTTTTAATACTATGGAGTACATATGAGATAACTACTTAGGGTCCGTTTGATTTGTAGGATTATTTTTAAGGGATTTTGATTTCATGGAGGGATTTGGATTGGCATGAACTTGAAATTATTGGTGTGTTTGGTCTTTAGGATTTTCATTATCTATACTATATTATAAAGCATTTGATAAAAAAAATCTTAAAAATCATTTTTTATGCATGAAGTACTATTTATTAATGCATATTACTTAAAATTCAAGACTGCAAGTAAATTATGCGTAAGTACAACTTATTAAAGTTTCATGTTTGAATCTGTGTAACTAACTTCAGATAAACATAATCAAGTTGAGGATGAACATTTCATTTTAAATATAAAAAAAACTAAAATATAATTAAAATAATCATTGAGTTCTAACAAAATACTTAATTATTATATTTTTAAAAAGTTATATTATTAAACCAAAAAAAAACAAGGAAATACAAAAAAAAATTAAATAGTTAGTCTGGTACTAATATCAATATTTTTTTTTATCATATCTTCATATTTATATTTTATTAAAAAATAAAAACATTATCGCTTTCTCAAGACCCCATAAAACCGTATTATAACATCGTCTAAGACAAAGAAAAAACACCTGATTCAAGATGTATTTTGCTGCATTGTGCGAGTATCCTTCTAGTTTATAAATAATTTATAGAAAAAAATATAAAAATAATTGAATTACATTTTTATTAATTGATTATTACAAAACAAATGTTTTTAACATTTTTTAAAACCTTATTGCATACAATCCTACGAAATCCCGTGAAATCCGAACTCTCCCTAATGATTTCAAAATTCTATGTTTGAAGGATTTCAACTAAATCGAAGGACTTCAAATACGGACAATCCAACAAACCAAACATGAGATTGAAATAGATTTGAAATTCAAATCCCCCAAAATCCATTCTATTCTTTCAAACCAAACGCGACCTTAGAGCATCGGAATCTTTAAAATGGGGATTGTTGAAAAATTCTAATTATATAATCAATACAATCACAGTTTAAATAAAACAGATCTTCATTAATAAAGATAACAGTTTTATTAATAAAGATTAAAACTTTATTTTTCAAGATCTAAAAGTTGTCTGTAAAAATATGTTAAATTGGACATAAACCAGAACCTGGCATGAATACCACACCAGTTGATTATGCCTTTGCGATAGATTCGTTATAATAAAAGGGGTAGAAGTAGACTGTTCATAAAGTTAACGAAATTAAATACAATATTGAATATTAAAACCATCATGAATACCGGGACTTTGCAATATTTGATTGATCACATTTCTATATATTCCATTTACTATAAAAGCTCCCCCTTTCCTGGAAACTAGTCACTACCTGAGTCACAGAAGATGCTTTTTGACAAATAGCAGCAGTACGATAGGAACTCCCAATTCTTTGGCAAATATAGCCCTTTTCATCATTTCTTCTCATGTACCTGCAGTAGCATTCAAGTAATGCTCTTTGATTTCACCTGTGAACCAAACTGCACGGATAAAAGAATATTGTTCTTGAAGGTTTTGACGATACTCTAATGTTGTGAGTCTGACAATCGCTTATGCTCAAGATTTGATGCAGATTAATTGAAACCTTAATAATAGTAGTGTTTAATCTAATGCAAGGTAGGTGGAAAAATTGCATAGAAACGATAGGCAACAATAGAAAGAAATACCAAAGGGTCTTGGGCCTAACAGTATCGTAGCCTTTGACCTCATAGGAGTCAGGGGTTCAAACCTCACCAAATATGAGAAGGGTGTGTGAGTTTATTTGTTACATTTGCGTATATAAATATTATATACTTCAAAAAAAAAAGAAACAATAAAAAGAAAAAATAACATTTTTTAACAGTTTTCGAGTGTGTTTTGGAAGAAGGTCGGATCTGGTATTTATATTAGTGATGTGATCAGATAACACCCGAAGAGGAGGTCTCCAACTAAAATATTATCTCTAAAATTAATTAAAAACGTGTTTTCATTATCTTTAATTAAAGTAAAGTTGCTCAAGACGAATTACTTACTAAACAACTCTTTTAGTTCATTAGTAATTATCAAGTATCCCTCTACAATTTTTTATTTAAAAGAAATCTCGAAACCTCGGGACAAGGACCCATGCGACGTGCAAAGTGCGTCTTCTCGCGCCACTCAGCGAATCCTACAGTCGTGAGCGTTGCACTTTCATACCCCCATCATAAGCTCAACACTACATTCAAGACCCAGTTGAACGGGTACGCTTATAAACTCAGTTAAGGCATTTCTACCAACGTGGGATGGAAAAACTTCCAAACTCACATTAAATTTCCAATAGGAATTCGGAAAAAGATTTGCTCCATCAGATTCTCCAGAACGGAGAAGGCATGAGAGAGAGTGTGAAATTCTCTAAATTCAGAGAACTCCCCAAAAATGATTACCATGAGTGAGAAACAATTTCTTATTATACCAACCAATAAGAAACACTGATGTTAAATGTTTACGAGAGATGAATAATATTTTATTACATTTTATAATATTTTAATATTATAATTAATACTGTAATCTACAAAACAAAAAATTTGTTAAAATTGAATGTAAGGGGCTGTTTACCAAACGCTTACTCGGGTAAATGAACACCAAGTCATTTTACCTTACCGGATGAATATGGTAAGGATTAAGAATCTTACCCGGTAAGAACGAGACAAGGACCAAAAGTCTTACCCGGTAAGTGAAGACAACGATTCTTACCACGGTAAGCGCTTACCGGGCAAATTGTTGCATACAATACCGTTTTGGTGGACTAAAATCTTATCCGGTAAGTAAATGATATTGTTAAATTTAATGGTAAACGCTTACCGGATAAATGCTTGGTAAACTGCCCCTAAATCTTTTTAGAGATCTTGAGCTGTTTCTCCATTTTTAGAATTTTTTTCAGAAAATGCTATTAACTCTATTTATTTTGAAAGTTACTTTACTTTGCAAATATGGTCCCTCATTCCAAAAGGGTGACTACTGCTTTATCTTATAAAAAGGTGACATGGTGCTTTTACTATCTCAATTTCATTACAACTATCAATGGCTTATTTTTATGGGTAAGCTTACTTTCTTTGTCATAAACAATAAAGGATTAATTGTTAGTAGCTTAATAAAACTTACAGCGTATTCGGTCAGCTATATATGACTGTTTAGTAGTGGCTTAATGATTTAGAAAATGTTTTGACTTATCCAGTAAGCTTCCAGGGGGATTTATGCAGAAAGCCAAGTTTTCCCAAATCAACTCATCCCAATTAGAGCTTGCCAAGCTCCTTCTGTCTACTGAAAAAAAACCTCTCTCAAACAAAAACATTCAATCTAGACAAACAACTTTATCCATACAGAATATAATGAAAAACGAACCAAAAGCCTCTGAATTGTTCTTAAAAATGGTTCTTTTTTAGATGTCCTTTTAGAAAGAACAAGATTGCATCATAATCAATCAGCACATTACTATTTTGATATATATATATATATATATATATATATATATATCATAACTGAACTTTGAACTTCAACAACACAATCAATCTACTTGAGAAAAGTAAGTTAAAATAGTGCTTTAAAATTGGCAACCTATATATGCTTACCACTTTCGCCATTTTTTTAACCGTGGGTGTCTAGCCAGCTTGTGCATTCCTCGACTAATCCCAAGGTCCTGGAGAACAACCAGGAAAATCCCCAGTGGCTTTGCAGGACTCGAACCAATGACCCATGAGGGAGAAACTCCAAAGAACCAAGTCTTATTGCCAGTTATTGGCATCCATAGCAGTTCACTTTAAACATCCGTCTTATCCGTTGGGGATCTCCTTGCAAACCTACCACGTACTCGAGGCCGAGTCTGTGCGTATGTTTTCCTGGAAGAATACTGTATTTTCTTCACGTATTTCCTCGCTTTCTTTTTCTCAAAATAACGTAGAACTCGCTCTTGTCTGCTCATAGGGGGTAATTTAAAAAATGGCTTCTTTGACGATGATGATCCAGCTGCTCTTGAAATAAGGTGTGTCCCTTCTGAGGAAATGCTAGTTGAGTTTGAATGGCTTAATCCCACTGTTTCATCTATTAGATTTCCATAATGAAAAGGTTGAAGAGAGAAGTGGTTTGGTGTCCATTCTCTCGGCAGATCCATGGTGTTTGAGAAGCTCCCAATAGTTGTCTCTGATACAATGCCACTGAGAACACCAGTTGTTGGTGGGAGAGATGCCTGAGGGTTCATTAAAAGGAGAGGATATATGATTGACAACCATTCTCTAAGGTGAATGTGTGTAAATTCAGAAAGGTTATATATATATATATATATATATATATATATAGAGAGAGAGAGAGAGAGAGAGAGAGAGAGGTGGTTGAATTAATAGCAAAGGCTAGTTTGGAACAACCAGGAAGCCAAAACATGGAAGTAGGTGCTCATATACAATACATAATAGGAAAGATCCAGAGCTATGTATACACACATACATCGAGGGAGGTTCAGGGGAAAACCCCAAAAAATGAAAAACCGAGGAACACCTTGGTAGCCGTTCATATGTACGATATACACATGTGCATACAAGTAATTGAAGCTTATTCTTGGTTTCTATAAACGTATGCATGTTATGCACATGTGCATACCGGACAAATTACTTGTATACACATGTGGATACCGTCCAGATGAACGATTACTAGGGTATTCCTCAGTTTTTCATTTTTTTGCAGTTTTCCTCTGAAACTGACCCTATATATATATAGAGAGAGAGAGAGAGAGAGAAACTGAGAGAGAGAGAGGTCGTTAACTTAATAGCAAATACTTGTTTGGAACAACCAGGAAGCCAAAATATGGAAGTAGGTGCTCATATACAAAACATAATAGGAAAGATAGAGCTATATATATATATATGTATATATATATATGTATATATATATGTATGTATATATATGTATGTATATACATAGTTTCGTGGAGTGTGTATGAAAGAGAGAAAAAAGGGGGCAAGGGGAGGGGGGATTCTGAGTCTTTGACGAACTACACAGATAGTAAACATTGGTGGTTCGATGTCTCACCACACTCTTACTGAAAGATTGCATAAAAAAACACTTAAACATTGGTACTGGATCTTGTAAGTGGGTATATTTCACATGCATGCCTATAAAATCATATCATTATATATATCCTCATGAATCTCTAGAATGATAGAATCTTATGGCAAGAAGCCTTTCATGTAAAGTGCAAGTCAGTACATACCTTGCAGACAACAAGTGCTTTATGCCATGACAGGGGGGAAAAACTTTTCTTCTCTTACAAGCTCAAATTGCTGAATGAAAATTTTCTAGTGCTAGAAGCTTATTGATATAAGCTCTTCAAAGAGAAAGACAAGGGTTGTTACTTTAGGACATCTGAGGAAGGCCCAACTTCCTGGCATAAAGTACACCAAAAAATTTGAAATAAAGCAAAAAAGGGATCAAGGGACCAATGGAAAAAGCAAAAAGAGAAACAAAAAGACCTCATATATGAAGCTCAGGGAATTATGAATCAGTTTTTGGGTAGTAAATATATTTTAAGAACCAAAAAGAATATGGAACCTTACATCTAAAAAATTTGCAGGTGAGTTATTGAAGGCAGCTCTTGAAAAATCGTGTTGAATTCCTTGATAGAACCTCAATATTTGTTCTTCTTGTTGCTCTGCTAATCCTTCCCTAGTAGAATATTGAATTGGAATCATACCATAATTTCGATCATGATTTACCTGTTGAATCCCATGAGTTTGCAGCTGATTCAATTGACCCTGGTACGGATTTCCAGTCCATGGGTTGTAACTTCTAAGATTCAAGCAGCCATCAATCTGGTTTGATGACAAACTGTTTTGATCCTCCCTATTATCAGGATTGAGCAGCAACCAAGAATCAATTTCTTCACTATATTTTGTACCCATTTGCTCTCTGACTTCCTGACCATTTTCTACATGAAAGAGAGGATCAACAGGATCGCTAACAAGAGGGAAACCAGAAATGGGATTCTGGGGGGCTCCTTGGTATGTTAGTAAGTTGGTCGAATTTGGCACTACATTATTGTACCACTGGTTCATGGGGTTGGAAGCATCCGTACATAAACAAGTCATTGCAGCAGTATGGCAATATGGTGTGTGGCAAATACGACTCCAGTTAGAACCAAAGCCGTAATTACTTGAATTATCACTCCACATTTTGTTTATTTGTTTTAGCAGGTACTTCCTATCTGCTGGTCTTTATATATGCATGTAGTTTATGGGTAGAGGGTGAATCAGAGAAAAGTGAAGGTGCCCCCCACAGAACGTGAAGAGGATATGATGTAATGATACTACAGTCATGAAAAAAAGGTGAGAATGAAGGTGTCACAAGGCCATTAAAATGATATATGGCTGTGCTTTCCACCTTTTTGGTGGTCCGATCTTGGCTTCATCTTTTCACTTCCTATGGGCATCTAATTCGGCACTCCCATTCGTTCTCATTTAATTGTTCAACTAGACCTCAATCTACCCTTCATAAGTAAACATAAAAGTGTTGCCAGGTCAAGAAATTATCCACCATGAGTATTTCTGTGAGATACGATAGCAAATAATCTATCAAGATTCGCCTCAATCAAAGTTCCGTATCTATTTTCTCCATGGCAAATATGCTTTCCATCTAGGCAGAAAATCAATCTGCTTTCCCTGTTTAAAGCTTTATGTGCTTAAACTAGTGCATCAAATGAGCAAATATGGAGCTTCTAACTTGGACAAAAACATGTGTTGTAGTTTCTTTATTCTCAAACATGACTATGAGTACATCTGTAATTAAAATCAGAATAACCCAATAGAAGGAAAAAGAATTAACTTAATCATGCATCTTCATTAAAGTTACAAGTGAAGTATGAGATACTAACTATAACAACATTACATTTATAGGACACCTAAAATGTCTAAGCGTCGTAATAGAATACTTTATAGGACATAAGTTTATAGGACCAAACAAAAAAGCATCATATCTGAAAGTGTTACAATAGGTTTATAGGGCGTTTTAACAAGTTCTTAAATAAAGTGTCATATTAGTTCTTTTAACTTGTTGGAGTCCCACATCGGCTAGACTTGGACCATTTCTCCTGTATATATGTTGGAACCTCCCCTTTCTCCTCAAGAGCTCTTTTGGATAGTGATATGGGGGTTCCACATATTCTCACATGGTATTAGGGCCGAGGCTTGCCACTCTTGGGACCCGACACTTTGGCTAGCCCCTTCTCGACACTCTGGGACAATCTGTGTCCATCTAGCCTCCGTTGGAGGGGGTGTGTTGGAGTCTCACATCGGCTAGACTTGGACCATTTTCTCTGTATATATGTTGGAACCTCCCCTTTCTCCTCAATGACTCTTTTGGAGAGTGTTCTAGAGGTTCCACATATTCTCACATGTACCATACTATTTGAAAAACTATCCTGTAAAAAGATGAGACGCTTAGACATTTTAAGCGTCCTCTAAACCCAATCTTGTTGTAGTGATTGTTCCACAACTAGTAGTAACTCCAACTAAAATGAAGAGAAGATGATAGTGGTGTGTGTTTCATTGCATTTTTCAGCTCCCAAATCAGGAAAGATATGAGTTATGCACCACCAGGAGTTCGAATAAAGATATGGATGCTCATCAGAGTCCATATGTACAAACCTATAGTACACTTTTTCTCATTTCTGGTAAAAAAGAAACAAAATGTTGGCCTAGTATTTGGATCAAAAGTTGTAAGTGGGACCACACTTTATAAGGGAAAGGATCTACTTCAGCACTGCAATTGGCTACTCGCCACCTTTTACTTTTCCCAAATCACCACAAGTATTCAGTCCGAATTTAGATTTTAGCACCACTAGGTTAGATCTATGGCAAATGCTCAGTGCCACACAGGAATATATAAAAATAGCCATGAATGTAACCAAAAATTTACTATGTGTTATTTTAAACATGTTGCAGTTGTCTTCCTTTTTGTGCATATGTACAAAGCTTCTCTTGTAGTATCTTCGGATCTACTTGTCAACATAAACCATTACGATGACAAAGGTTTTTAAGGGTTAAATTAACTAGGAATACTATTTCTATTGTTAAAGCATTTCCTGCATTTTAGGAAATCCATCTCAACGAAGCTTGGTTTCAGATCTCATGGGTTGGAAGGGAACTGGTTCCTCTGTGAATTCTTAATGTCAAGTCATGTGAAGAAAGAAAAATAATATTTAAAGCAAGAACCTTTGTTGAGTGTTAGTTTCAGCAAATGGATATGAGCTTTGTCTGTTTGTCAAAAAAAAAAACATGACAAGACTTGGAATTTTTAAATGGTTGGAAGGAAAACTGCATCGGAACATTAACATCGACTAAAGTACAGTGCAAAGTGCAAGGATTTTTTGGGTGCTTGAATGAAAAAGTACTAGTGAAAGTAAACAAGAAAATGTGAAAGAGGGTGGATGTGTCACTCTGTTGTGCTCTCAAGGCACAATCCCATTATCTATTGTGCTAGGCCTCCTACTTACACTGTGTGTTTGCTGTTTGTTCATCACAAGTATCCTCGTAAGGCTTTGGCTACCTTCTGTTGCTTTGTGGTTGTGGACAGGAACATGATGGTGCCAACCATAAACCATTACATTTCAGGAAAACTATTTTCATTGGATTTCATGACGAAAATTCCCTAACCATGATAGTTGCCTATAGTATTTATCTGTTTTACTTGAGCTATTAATCCCTCAGGTTTGTTCATCTTATTTCTATCCTTAATAGATTGTCATAGGGAGAGGTTTAGAGCATTTCTTTTTCTTCTTTAGTCAGAGAACTGTAATACACAAATGCTTATATATCTATACTCATATGACAAAGCATTTGGGGTAAGTCTTAAAAACGACTTCTTTATGCATTAAGTATTGTTAATCAATACACATTACTTAAAATTCAAAACTACATGTTAATAATGCACGCTTACAAATTCTTAAAGCTTCATATCTGAATTTATACTATGATGCATCGTGCGGGTACACTTCTAGTATTAACCTAACCATACTAAGAATCTGCCAAAAGACTATGTAGGACAATGAATGTTGCAGAACTATTGACCAAGTGAAGTGTAGAGCCCTTTTGTACTTTAGGTCCTTCAAATAATTATATGGTTGTGCTTGCAATCTTGTTTTTTATCACTTCTATGGAGTATCTAATTAGGCAGTGCCATTGGTTGCTCTTTTTGAGTGGTTCTCATTCCCTCCATCAACCATATCCAACCAAGGGAATCATGCACCCCATTATTGTTCTTGCTATAAAATCTACCCACTAAGATATTCTATGATGTGGATATCAATTGGCAAAGTCTTTCTTAGATTCTACTAAAGTTTGGAATGTGCAACTAGTGGAAGCATAGTGATAAACCTTAACAAATTATGTTGTTTATGACTAAAAAAGCTAATTAGCCTGTCACACCTCCAGATTTATTGATAAGCTACTAGACTTAAATTCTTGAAATTGAAATAAGTAAACTATACAACCCCCAACTGCACCTTTCAGAGAGTAAGCACTTGCACCAAATAGAATAAAAGATAAAAAGAAGACTAGAGTACCTCATCCATGAATACAGGATATCTAATATTCTCTACTGGTCATGAAATTTGAAAGCGATTGTAAGAACCACAAACTCTTTGCTTTTTGATTCGATCATAGTTGATCCTTAGACTAGCTGGCACTTTTTATGTTAAAGTTACCTAATTCAGCACCCTCAATAAAACTAGAGTCTCCATCAATCCTTTCTTCTCTATATCCCAAGCATTTAGTTTTTCAATTTCTTCACCGATCAAATTAAACTTTTGTGCTAGCCACAAGTTTGATATCATGAATTACAATTTCTGGTTCTACATGAAATATACTTCACTATGTTGTCTTCTGGTTGAAAAAAAATTCATTGTTAATCCCTCAATTATAGCCATGTTAGGTTACACCCAGCCATAAAAAGCTGAAAGGCCACATTTACAAGTATTTTCTAGGGTGATGATCAAAATTGTACTTTTCACCATAATGGTATGTTTTTTATATCCCCGGGTGTTCGGATATGTGTTTTTAAAGTAGTTTTTACAACTTGGAGAATCAGAAATATTTGGTTAATCATTGGTTTTATTACAACAACTCCTTACTTGCTTCTCCAAATTTGATTGTGATCCTAAATAATAATAAAAGATCAGAATTATAATTGGTTTCTGCCAAACACTATAACCTAGTTATTACAACTTCAATTTGCAATAATCAATTGAAACGCACATCCATGATCCAACCACCACCCTCAAACAATTTGAAAAAAGAAAACAAAAAATGAAATACACTTGATCATGTGAGAAGAAGTTACTTTTATACTATGAATTCATACTACGTACAACTTTTTGAAGAAAATTGAAGACTCCATTGAACTTTATAGCAGCAAGTAGATTGAATAATGTGTTGTAAGTTGGCAACAACATCATAATCAACTTTTCTTTCAAAAGTAGTAAAAAAGATGCAACACTTTGGATTTTGGGTTGTCCGTACACAAACCTTTTTTTCTCTAAATTTTATGGCTTACCCAGTTATGCTTTTTAATCGTTTTATTACCCTTTTCGCGACAAGCCCGGTTCTTCTGCGAAACCACCTCTCCGTCTTTTGAGGCAAAGCCGTGAAGGTAACTACCTACCTTTGGGTATCGTTCGGTTCGGTTCGGTTCGGTTCGGTTTATTCCTTCCCAACTTCTTTATCTGTTTGCCCATTGCAATCTTCATCATTACAAGATGTTGGTGAGACTAAATATCGTCAATAAGTTTTCTCAACTTTGTTACATAGTGGGAATTTATTACTGACCCCTGCTTATGAAGGAAATACACAAAAAAACAAAAACAAAAAAATGTTTATATCAAGTTAGGATCAGGTGCATTTTAGGTTTACTAGCAAATCCAAACGTGGATCTTGATCTTGGAAAGGATAGAATACCATGATTCATGAACATAGAATTAGACACAAATATCAAAAATCAGATGAGTAAATCGACGATCAAATGCACTTAAAGCAAAATGAAAGAGCTCAATGTCATCAGAACATTAACCCTGATCCTATGATCATCACGTACCTTCAGAATCAGCTCATAAGAGTTGACAATTACTCGAAAATAGCATTTTACTTGATCACAATTCTTTCTTCCGCAGGGATTGAAGCTC